TCGTTTAAGGTGATGAAGGACTGGTAGAAGAAGAATTTTCCCACAATGATATGAATTGAGCTGACGTTTACATTCAATTATCACATTGCCTTGCTTTCCCAAAAGTTGTTCTCCTCCAGGCACCAGTGGACTGCGGTTTCGACCTCGCATCGGTCTTGTCAACACCCTCAGCGGGAGTCGAACCGCGACAGTGCAGGGTGACAGCCTGACACGCTTATCGATGAGAGGTCGAAACTGCAGTCCACTTTTTGGAAAGCAAGGCTATGTGAAATTCAATGGAAAAGTCAGCTATACTCATAGCATTGTGGGAAAATTCATCTTCTACCAGTCATTCATTGCCTTAAACGAAATTGGGTGAATACATCTCATATTAGTACAGGTAGTCATGAAATCTACTCACACCAAAATAAGTAGTATCATCGATTTAAGTAGATTGTGACCCACTGGTGCAGTAAAATGATAGTGTTTTCATGACACTCACGACTCGGTACTAAACCTCGTTGGGGCTGCTGATAGTATCTTGACGAGTACGAAACTGCAGTCAACTCTGGACAGGAAAAAAATTTTGGCAGGCATAAGACCTACTTATTTGATAAGGAAAAAAATTAACAACCAGACATTCTTCATCCTATCTGATCTAGGGTGAATACAGCTCTTAGTAAAATATAACTGGTAGTATCGAGACATACAATACCAACAACACATACAAACAATATGCATATTGGTCCTTAAATCACCCTGAGCCAATCAAGTTATTATTCAAGAAGTCTAATCGAATAATCACAGCAAATGATAATAGACGGAAAATACGTGGACATGTGTGAATAGGTATAGTCAATATTTTCCATGTTAAGCCAAGTACTTGCATAGCTAAGTGAATGTTCAGTTGCGTCTGTCTCTGCGCAAATCAAGGTATGAAACGACCAGTTATAACTTTAAACAATCACAATTGAGCGTAATGTCCGTCCAAGTTCATCATGGCTTCATACTCCAAGGAAAAGCGTGATTAGGATTGAATTGGTGAGCCGAAATGACGCGTTAAACTAATGTAAATATGGTTAGGATAATGACTAAGCAGACCGGACTAACTAGGCGAAGAACAGGTTGGATCTCTGCAGCTAACTTGGTTTACATTTGTATCTCTGATTATGCCTGTATTATGATACACGAAAGTCTCAGAGGAATGTGAAAAAGGATTGCTGAGGAAACGTGACTTTGGATTTTTCGAAAATAAATCCTCGATCTAGCACACGTCCAGCACAAATATTCAGCTACAGCTTCAAGGCAGTCTTCGTTCGGTTGCTTCTGGTGAGGCCAATTCCTGAATCCCTTCCATGTGCTTTTTGAAACCTACATCAACGTTATTTTTCGAATTAAATATTGTTTTTCGTGGCTACCAGCAAATAAGTAGTATGATATGTATTCACCCAATTTCGTTTAAGGTGATGAAGGAATGGTATAAAAAAAATTTTCCCACAATGATATGAGTTGAGCTGACGTTTACATTGAATTTTCACATAGCATTGCTTTCACAAATGTTGTTCTTATCCAGGTGAATACATATCATACTACAGTAACGACAAATGACAAAAGAGACACAATTGTGGACCAAAAGATTCCTCATAACCCAACCGTTTTTCGTATAAAGACAAGAGACGACTCAACTGGATGAAAATGCCTTTTAAGAGACAATGATACATGAATGGCCTCATTAGACCCACTCAAATCATAGTGGGAAAATTCACTGTCATTTCATTGTCACCGAGCGACGTGACTGGTGTGCTTAGATATCTCACCATAATGAGCCGCGCTGTAGCCGAGCGGCTGAGATAGCCCCAAAGAAGGAAGGATTCCTAACTGTGACCGAATGCAGTCAATAAGGTAGTGTGAAATAAGGCCTGTTGAAAAGAATAAACAACCAGTTAGCCCAGGTTGCTTAAGGTGATTTGGGGAGTGATAATAAAGTTTAGACACAATCAAATGAGTATGCCTTACATTGAATTTGGCCAGGTCTTTCCCAAATCACTGTTCGTAGTGGTGCGGTTGTTGATTAAGCAGATGTGTGTTTGCCATCGCAATCGACGACGTTATCCATTTTCTGTATGCATAGTTTTCGGGACAATTAATCATTTGAACTAAGAACTCAGTCAACTTAGGTGGCTCACGATGAAGTAAGGATTGACAACAGCCCCGGCGTGATTCGATACCAGATTGTGACTCGGTTGTTATTCAATCACTGCTGATAGTCTCGAAAATCACCCTAATAGATAACAATAATAGGCAAGACTATTGGTAGAGCTTAAATGATATCCTTAGTCATCCTCTCATTCGAGATCTACCGATGATTTCGAAGTCCCACTTTATGCGAATACAGGAAAAAATATTTTTATTTTTCTCCTCCAGGGTGGACTGCAGTTTCGACCTCG